TTTTATTTAATTTTATTAGGATAAAAGTGTTTTCATTCATATTAATTACATAATTTATTGTCTACACAATCAGTTCTTTAATGCATTTCTAACCTATTTTTTATTGTTTTGTTTATTTTATTTTATGCTACATAATTATGCCAATAAATTAATTGTAAACTGAGACAAACATTACTCAAAAAGTGCTGAAAATATGTGTTTTAGTATGGAAAACAGAGAGATTACTAAAAGCATAGAGTAAGGTAAAGATGTCAGCACATGAAAAAAAATGTAAATAAGGGAAACTGAGCACAGCATGGTACTGAAACGTTCTCTCCATGCATCTATTTCTCTCTCTCTCCCTCCCTTTAATGTTTAAAATGGCCACAAAGTCCTTGAAAACAGCAGCAATAGGAACACACTAAAATAAACTTTAAAGTCACATCCTCCCTTCAAGCTGCTATTAGTCCCATTAGAGTGCTTCCTCTTGAAGAGATGGAGGAGAGTTAAAAACAACAACAGCACAAGCCTTCTCCTCTTCCAGTTAAACTATCTGTTCATTATTGATTTTATTACGTCAAAGATTAAATATTTAACCTTTACACATTAGGAAAATCACTGCAGATTATAATGCATTGGCAGTTTGCAATGTTGCTTTCAGACATCACATTTGAAAATCACATTGTTTTAGCAGTCCAACTCTAATTGATTTGAGCTAATTTGATGTTGTTGTGAATTGTTGTCAAATTGTTGTAGCATACTACTGCTATAATGGTAATGGTGCAGAGGAACATTAACCTTAAAATCCCTTTCAGCATATCAGGATAAATCCTGCTGTAAACACTTTAAACAGTACAGGTGCAGTAAATAATTTCTGAAAAATGCTGTTGAAGATTGAAACCAAAAGACGAACATAAATACATTAACTCTTAAATTCTATGTAGTGTTTATGGATCCAACCTGAAAAGCTAGTTGTTAATGATTTAAAAATGCTAGAAATCACAGAAAACAGGGAACTATTTTTTCGTGTTGCCAGATCACACTTTAAAAAAAATCAGCAAATAAAAATAATCCTATCATAAAATCAAACCCAAACAAATATTGTGACCTGTTCCTGCCTACATTATTAACTTAATGAAATCTATTGTTTGTGCCTAAAGATGCTTAAGTATTGCTTACAAATAGTGGACCTGGCAAGACTTAAAGAAGCCAAAAACATTGATTTAATTGGTGACTGGTATGTGGTCACTTGTTGTGTAGGCTATTCATTTATAAACTTGCAGAAAAGCTTGTTAGGAGAGTTTAGAAAATAAATTTGTTTGTAATAGTAACACAAACATGATTTAACTGTAAAAAAATTTTGCATTTCGATGTAACATTACAGTGCAATGCAGGCTCCATGTGTGCATGAATATTTCAACAGGCTTTAAAGTATTTAACATATAAAAAGTGTCCTGAGGTGCAGTTTTGCAAAGTGTATATAGTATATAAGTCAGAATTATTAGCCCCCATTGGATTTTTTTTTCTTTTATAAATATTTCCCAAATGACATTTAACAGATTTCACAGTATGTCTGATTATAATTCTTCTTCTGCAGAAACTCTTATTTGTTTTATTTCAGCTAAAATAAAAGCAGTTTTTAAATTTTCTAAAAGCCATTTTAAGGTGAAAATTATTAGCCCCTTTAAGCTATATATTCTTTTCAATAGTCTACAGAAAAAGCCATCGTTATACAATAACATGGCTAATTACACTGTCCTGCCTAGTTAACATAATTAACCTAGTTAAGGCTTTAAATGCCACTTTAAGCTGTATAGAAGTGTCTTAAAAATATATCTAGCAAAATATTATTTATTGTCATCATGGCAAAGATAAAAGGAATCAGTTATTAGAAATGAGTCATTAAAACTATGTTTAGAAATGTGTTGAAAAAATCTCTTTGTTAAACAGAAATTCTACTGTTTCTACTGTACAGTACTAATATATATGTATGTATATATATAGTACTGTTTTAGCTCACACCACAGGTGTTTACATATACTTCACAAAACAAAATAATTAAACATTTGATAAAAACAGCCCCCTTCAAAATTGCATATCCACCATGAATTGCTGTCTGTTGTAGTGTTTGTACACTGCTGTGTCTCTTGTTTGTCATGAGCAGTTAAACCGTCCACTTTTATTCAGAAAAATACTGGTCCTCCACATTTTTTTGTTTTCTAAAACCCTTCCAAACTGTAAACACTGAATTTTTGAGATCGATTTTTTACCTCTAAAGACAACTGAGGGGATAAGTATTATGAAAATATTAAGAAGGATAAACACATTCTCAGATGCTTAAGAAGAAGGAAAATACTGCATTAAGACAGGAGGAGTAAAATTTAACCACAATTTTTTTTCTTATTTTCTTTAACCCTTTGGCAATGGGAATAGGAACTTATTAAAATAGTCATCTGAAAACCTCTGATAAAATAATTCAGCTTTGTATAGTTAAAATAATTAAAAGAGCACAATTTAGTACTTCCATTCAGAAGCTATTATTTACACATTTCCCACATGCAAACATACGTACAATTTACCTAAATAATGCAATTCAAAAAGTGTACATACCTCAGGTCTTAATGCATTCTATTGCTTTCCCAAGCATTCATATATTTTTTTCAAAGCGCTTATAATAAACAGAATGTTATCATAATGTAGCTGATATAGTTTTGTTATTAATTTGATCAGGCCTGACTGCTAAATGGAAACCAGTCATTTTGATTGCAGAGTGCTACTGTTTCTTTATTTATTTTAATTAGGTGTCAATTATAAGCATATTAATGAGCCAATTATAAACAACACGGTTTGAATTAAATTTACTGACAATATTTTCCATATAGGTCAAGAGTAAAACAGAAATAAATTGCACTTCAGTGGAGCTACATACTGTATAAGAAGGCAGTCATTAGAAGCCAGCCCTTGTCATCAAGCTCTGCAATATATCTCTCTAACAGGTAATTAGTCTGAGCAAACCACCCACTTTCTTCCACAGGGAACACTAGAACACAGTAATCTGACAGATCTATAGGGTGAGATGTCAAGAGTAAAGCGTCAAACAGCAAGCAAATAGTTAACCAGCGGGTATAAATATTCATGAGCAGCTGCTGTAAAGGCAGTGCAAATCACTTGTTACAGCAGCTCTAAACTCTCCTCTTATTGTAACTGGGGCAGATAGAGGATGAGAATTCAAGCAAAGGATCGGTCAAATGTCTTGGATCACTGATTTCTAAATACAGAGAAGGTTTGCTTGGAGCCTGATGTCTCAGTGCATTTGTCATACGGTAAACTGTTGGCTGGAGCAAAGGCAACAGAAGACCATCTGCCAGCTGGCAGCAGTTTATTATGTCATTTAATTTTGCATTAGACCATTTTGAGAGATTGCAGAGGAATAATTCACAGAGAAAATAGAAAATTCTGTTTATGCACATCCCTTGCTTAGCTTAATTTTGCCAATTTACCAGTCATGTTCATTCAAAACACAAGAGGTGTGCAGAATTCAGAATTAGGCATGACTGTGAATTTTAATGATTTTATTTTTTGTATTTATTTTTGTGAGTTATTTGAATTACAATCTGAAAGAACTTAAATCAGAATGACTCTATGATTTTTATTTTACAATCTTGTCTTTTAAAAATTATAAAAAAAAATTAATGAATGTGAATCAAATTCGGAACTGATAAAAACAAAAACATTTGAATGAGAACAAATAGAAAATTACTGAATTATTGAAAATTACTGATATAATAATCTAATGATTTTCAGAGGATTTGATTAAATACTATTTTAATGATATGAAGAGTTGCAAAAACCTTTATGTTTAGTGATTTCACTTTAAAGGTAATGGGAAAAAAACTATCCATTGAAATAAGTACTGACCACACAAGAGCCTGAAACAAATGCTAATTTTAGAAGAAAATTACAGCATCTGAACTCTTTAATTGTATCTGAATTGTATTTAGAAATGTATTCTATTTATTGGTTATGCTGTTTCTAAATGCTTTCAAATATCGAACATTTTAACCTCATACAACGATACAGTTTAAATATACATTTAAATAAATTCCTCTGGTCATCAAAGGTTTGGATTTTTCTCTAAAAATGTCAACTATTTTGTGTTTGCACTTTTAATATGAATTTAGATATTGTCCAATTCGTGACAGCATTAAAATTTTAAGATGCTTAGTTATGGCACACGAAACAGTGCAGCTTGGACATTATACAAAATACCTTGTTTGTTGTCATTCTGCATGGATATAACATTCAAAACCTATACTGGCTCAAAAGCAAAATATATTTGTTGAATGCACAGCTTCTGTGCTCATGCATTTACAGTTGACCTCTAATTTAGTACAGTAAATGAGCAGTGCGGTGTATCAGTAATTTATTTATTCAGATTTACCCATGTTTAACCTTATGATGTGAACTGATCAAGGATAGTTTCAGTGTTGCACAGTATTCTTGCATATAGTAGTTCTTGTATATAACACTGTCCTTGCCATCATGTCGATCATAACATCCCATCATCCGCTGTATCAAGCATTAGAAAGCTGTCTCCATGACAACTACACCATGGCGCATGTGAACAGGAAGAGGGTTGATATGTGAGCAGAGTGTTAAAACACCCGCTCACGTACGGAGACGCCACACACACGCGCGCGCACACACACAGAATCGATGATGTTTATCTGTGAGGGACTGTGAGGTTAAACCATCATTTGTAAACAGCAGCCAATGATGCGTTGCATGCGCTTCCTTCATTCCATCATCACTCATCTCTTTGGGTCAACATCCCACATGTCCAGAAATCCCACAAATAGACCACTCTTTCTGTTTTTTGCACAGTCTTTCAGAGTTGGTCATTGATTTAGTGCTGTTACTGATACTTCACAAATACTCCCTGCGCTTTAGTCTTTCCTTATCAGCCAGCCATCATTATTTAAGTCAGTAAAAGTCAGAAAAGCTGTCACTGGTTCACATACCTCTGGATGGTTGTCTTTGTCTTGTCTGCATAGTCAATGTGCCCACTACTGCTCCCATGTTGTCAGCGCAGAGCCACGCGTTTCAAACTAACAAGCGTTGAGTTCGCCAGTCTGTCTGTCTTTTGTTAAGGCTGCTTGTTTTCCTCTCCACTCTTCTCTCAGTTGTCAGTGAATGAAGGAGACAAGCTGGAATTTCCTTGCTAAGAGCATATGGTTGCTTCCCTCATGCCCCTCCCACTAATTTCACTCTCTCTCTCACTCTCTCTACATTTCTCTCTCTTTTTTTGCTGTCTCTCTTGCTGTTTCTGCTGGGTCCCGTTTGCTATTCCGTGTCAGGAACTGTTGCTGTGCTGGCGGAACAGCATGGTGGGAAACAGTAGGAAGAGTGTGATGATGAAATGCTGCTATAATACACACACACACAGACAAGGATGTACACACACACTCACACTCAGAGAGCAAGCAGGATCTTTTCCTTATGGAATTGCAATTTTTCACACAAGCTGAATGTGGCAAGATGGATGAGGATTTTTTAGACACTGGAGCTCTTTAATGCAAATGCTTTTAGTGTTCTATTATGGTTTGGATTGGTATTGATCTTTATTGTTTATGTTGATCTAGAGAAGTCTTGGTGTTTTTTAACCCTACATCTGAACTTTCTATAGTTTTTTTTTTTTTTTTTAATTTTAATATGATATTAATTTACTAAATCTCAAACTTGTTTGACAAAATCAGGAGTTTAACGTGCCAAATCACATAAGAACCATTTTTTTTTTTAGAATATTTCAGATTTTTTTGCTATTTAATACTTAATGTAAACTATGAAAACAATTTGTAATTTAAGTAATTTCCATAAATCATTATTTTTTTGCATGTCCAATCTTTATTGCACAAGATAAAAAACCGAATATTTAAAAATTACTTAAAATGGAAGTATATGTTTTTGCAAATGAACCCTATACACAAATAAGATTTCAACTGTGTTTAGGCAGGGAAAGATAACTGGCTTTGAGGTTTACTATGGTTTGAAAAAGTCAAGTTTTTAAAACCACCAGAATTTTCTGTTATATCGTTTTTATGGTATATGTATTTTTTACGTGTTTTTTATGACCAGATTTTAGTACCTCCAGAAGAAAATTACCCTCTATATTAAAAGCTACTGCTCTAAAATATTTTGAATGTTTATTCAAATAAAATATATCTTGTCCAATGGAGGGAAAAGTTGTTGTTTTTTACCAAGCATTTAAAAAGATACTTTGATAAATTTATCTGAGGGTATCATACCATCACAATATTATACCAGCCCATGCCTATGTTGTCAACATAACATATTTTGTTATAGAAAATGTAATGTTTTCAAATAATTACCTTTTTATTCTTCATTTATGTAGTAAATTTATATTTATTTGTTAAAGAATTTAATTTAATTTAAAGTTGAAATGACTTGAAATTAGTTAAAAGTTATAGAATGTTAATATTAGTAATGTTAAGATCACCAGCGGTCTAGCGGCTGCAAGTTCACTAAAGAACTCCAAATCCGCCAGTATGTGGACTACAAGTTCTAGTCATGCACTGCTCACACGCACCTATTCCTTATTTCGTTTATTTCACATACTCATGGCTGGAAGCTGCTCATGAACTGATTACATGGACTATATACACAGCACATACGCACACCTTTTTGCTGAGTCTTATTATACTGTCACTGAGAACATTATACGAAGCCTTTCCCTTGCCTTGCTTTGCCATGTTTTTCACCCTCGCCTTGTTTGTTTATGTTGTCTGCTGCCTGCCTGTCGTTTGACTATCCCCCTGTTTTATGACCACGACTCTGGATTGTCTGTTAACATCTGTATGCCCATGTGTTGACCGTTGCTTGCCTGACCATTCTCCGTTAAATAAAAGCTGCATTTGGATCCGGACCTCTGTTGTCAGCATCCCACTTCACATTACAAGTATACAAGTATGTTTATTTGATTCACTTTTGTCCAAACAACATTAGGCCTAATTGACTTTCTTAGTATGAACAAACAGTTTGAGATTTTTAAAAATGTTTTAAGTACTTTATGACAGAATGTTAGTGTAAAATGCCAAAGTCCCTTCGAGATGAATACATTTTGCTATTATCATTATTATGATTATTACTTAGATGATAATAATGCAATAAGGAATTAATTCATTTTATTTATTAAACTTTTTGTGAAAGGAATGCCAAGTAAATGAAATAGCCCTGTGTAATGCATGCAGTATGAGCATTTTGTGAGGCTGTAGCAACAGAGTATTGCGGAGTACCAATCTGATATGGCACTTAAAAGCCAGACATTCAGCAGAATACAGTATGTTCTCTGAGTCATGCAGAAATGGCAAACATTGGCGCCATGAAGAACATCCAAGTGCTGCTGCCTACAGTACAGCATTCTTTACATGTCACTGAATGAAGAGACTGCACAGCTAGTTGTTCTGATAGAGTTTAGTGAATCAGAGAATTAGAAAAGAAACGTGACTACTTTGCTCAGAGCGAAAGTATATAATAGTTTGATAAAGGTGTTTACATCCCTATTAGTTCCAATTAAAAATGCTGTGTTCCACTTATTTTTGTATGATTATGGTTTCTATAGGGCGAGGCAGTGGCGCAGTAGGTAGTGCTGTCGCCTCACAGCAAGAAGGTCGCTGGGTTGCTGGTTCGAACCTGAGAACGCTCAGATGGCGTTTCTGTGTGGAGTTTGCATGTTCTCCCTGCCTTCGCGTGGGTTTCTTCCGGGTGCTCCGGTTTCCCCCACAGTCCAAAGACATGTGGTACAAGTAGGCTAAATTGTCCGTAGTGTATGAGTGTGTGTGTGAATGTGTGTGTAAATGTTTCCCAGAGATGGGTTGTGGCTGGAAGGGCATCCGCTGCGTAAAAACTTGCTACTTGGATAACTTGGCGGTTCATTCCGCTGTGGCAACCCTGGAATAATAATGGGACTTAGCCAACAAGAAAATGAATGAATGAATGAATGAATGAATGGTTTCTATAATTATGAGCTTAAACACATCAGTTAGATCTGAGTATTGTGCCTGAATTAGGTCAAGTTTAATTGCAAAGTTCCCTAAATTTCAGCAAAGATGAGATTCTCATGTAAAATCCATAACCATAGCTGAAGGATATTCTTAAACTAAATTGTTTTAACTAAAAATAACTTGCAGTGACATAAACAAAAATGCATCAATGCCATAGAACTTTCAAAATACACACCAGTAATGTGATTTAATAAGTCAATCGTATGAGAACTAATTTAATTAACTTTAAAACTTAATCAGGACATGTCTTATATTAAATATAGCCATAGGGATTTCTAGGAATATCCTTTATTACATATTGCCAAAACAGTAACATTGTACAATAAGGTTGTTTTAGTTAATGTTAGTTAATGCATTTACTAAGATCAACAAATAATGAGCAATACACTTATTACACTATTTATTCATGTTAGTTAACATTAATTAATAAAAATGCAGTTGCTCATGGTAATTTTCTATGCATTAATGTTAACAAGCATGAATTTGGATAATGCATTAGTATATGCTGAATTATAATTAAAAAAAAATACTATACATGTATTGTTCATAATTAGTTCATGTTAGTAAATACATTAACTAATGAAATCTTATCGAAAAGTGTGACCGCAAAAACAAAATTGATATTATTCTATACAGTAAATGTACTTCCAATTTAAATACTGGGGAATTTTCCCTTGCACGTATCACCAATGTTTAACATGTTCTGACTAAATAAAGGATGTCAATGTGAGCATGCACAATAATGCGCAAAATGCCAGGCATAAAAGTGTAATAAAAAAACTCCTCAGGCTCATTTAAAAAAGTTTCTTCTTGGTTTGATGTGGTAAAAGGGGTTGTAACACTTTTGTTCACATGCCTGGAGCACCTGAAGTTACAGTAAAAATGACTTGATAGCAGTCAAAAAAAAAAAAATAAATTGTCAAGGCAAGCATCTGTACTGAGTTATTTCTGTTTTTCATTAAGCACCATCTAATGTTGGAGAGTGATTTTGCACGTTTACTCTGCTCATCAGTAGTGGCAATCGCTTGTGTGTAAATGCTCAAAAATGTATAGAAAAACACTTATGATAAGCGTGAACGAAAATCGTCCTGTTGTGTGTACGGCTTTACAGCGCAATTAAATATTGGCCTCACCAATACAGTAAATAAGAAAAAGAAGTACTGTAACAGCTTTTTACCTTTTGCGTTTTACTGCACTTTTAAAGCATTTATCTCTCATAACCAAGTCAACCCTGATCCACATCAAATAAGAGGTACGACAGTGAGTATTTTCTTTCATCATCTACTGTTCATTTCCATTTATGAGCTGCTGTGCATGCGTGTGTGTGCTTTGCCAATTTACTGACTCAGATAAGAACATTTCATGGATCATGAACTCTATTTTTTTGTGTGTACTATGCACAAATGTGCATTGTTGTTAGTGTATTGTACATATACCATTTATATAACAATATCATTTGTTTCTTTGTGTCCCTCATTATACTTGGGAAACAACCCTACAAACTTTTCCAATTAAAGAAACAAAAACAGTTATAAAAAAGGACAAGGAACAAAGAGATGCAGAGAAAAAGAAAGACAAACTACAGAGGAAAAGAAATTGCCAATGGGAATATGTCTGAGTTTCAAAACAGCAGGTCTGTAACCTTATTAATAATACAATAAAAGATGAAACTTCAGACGGTCGAGCTTTGGGCTTGGAGAGAAGTTGAAGGTAATGAGTAATTACATAATATCAACTCTCCTCGCTATGTATTACGCAAATCCAGCAGGACTGACCTGAAAATCAGGCCAAGATATCTAGACATATCCTAATTCTAGCACATCTGCAATTCACTACAACCCTTTCAGCAAAAAACACAGTATTTTTCTCCCAATTTCAACACCCTGAGGTCCTACAACCTGCCTCACAAAGACAAAAAACATTTAAATTTCATCACAACATATTTTGGTTGCTGTAAGACATTTGTAATGGTTTTTTGCTCGTTTTTGGCACTTGTCCTTGGACAAGAAACAAACGACTGGCATGTGTGAAATCCACGCAGGCAGGTGTAAGCCTCTTTTTCTCACTCAGAAGTGTCTGTGTTGGACGTTTCCTTTGCAGACGCCTCATTGAATCTACTAATGCACTTGGGAAATGGTTACAGATGACTGGCTTACCCTTGGAAACATATTCAATGGTGCGAATAACAGCCTGAAACCTTATCTCACTGAGAACCTGTGATCATAGTATCATTATTAATAGGGTTGTGCAACAGTGGTACAAGAAGAAATGGTGCTAATAG